CGTGTAAATGGAACAAGGAATCAATTAGTCCTCCGAGATCTCCACGGGCCGCTAGTAAGGTCTCTGTAGGTCCCCTGCAGGGTCAGGCTACCATACGGGCCACCAGGAAGGGATTTAATGAGGTCACATTAAAGGTGAGGGTCGTCATATCATATGACTGAGTGTCTTTATTTTTATTGGGAGGTCAGCTGATCATATGGCTAGCTAGGTAAGGTCAGGGTTGACTTTAAATGCCTTTCTTAACATACTTTTGTTGTATATAGGTTTTTCAATACCAAAGGAATTTTGTGGTGTTGTTTTTATGGTGGCCTCAAATGCCCCATGTTGTTTTTAGACCTCTGTCTAAAAATGACATGAGGCCATTCATCTCCACTGCCAATCATGTTTCGCACGTTACTGATAACAGAAATTTGTCATGCAGGGACTTATTCTCTGTATATTCTAAAAATTATGTAGCTATAATAATAATCATGATATTAATAATCAGTGTTGGGGGTAACGGATTACAGGTAACGTGAGATATGTAATTGGATTACTTTTTTCAAGTAACTAGTAAAGTAAAGCACTACTTTTAAATTTCCAAAAAAATATCTGAGTTACTTTATTTTCCTGCTACTTTTTCTATCTTTACTTTTTTCTAGCTCACTTGCACAAAAACAGATTCAGTATTTCTCAAAATGAATAAAAACTGAAAAACACAAACTCAGAATGTTACACAAACCTGCAATAATTAATTGTTAAATTACACTAGTATACTTTATGTACTGTATTTCATATCACTCTATTTAATGTCTTTGTTGCTGACCTTTGATGATCCAATTCAACCATACTAATTAGCAAAAATTAGTTTAGAAAAACATCACATTTGTATTTTTTAATTCCCCCCCCCCCCCCCCCCCCCCCATTCTTCTGTAGTCGCAGCTGAAAGGTTTGTTTGAGAAGCGTCCTCTACTGTACAGGTGTGGATCTGCATTTCCGTCAAGTCAAGTCACCTTTATTTATATAGCGCTTTTTACAATACAGATTGTATCAAAGCAGCTTCACAGTGATAACATGAAAATAATACAACAAAGTTTGTTTCTAAAAGAAAATTGCGTCAACGTCCACCTTAAGTAAGGCAGATCAATAATATTATTGAATATTAAATGTCCCCAACTAAGCAAGCCAAAAGCCAAGGCAACAGTGGCAAGGAACCAAAACTCCATCAGGTGACAGAATGGAGAAAAAAACCTTGGGAGAAACCAGACTCAGTCGGGGGGCCAGTTCTCCTCTGGCCAACGAAGGAACAGTGTATGATTCGGGCAGCATTACAAGTCAGATTGGATCGGAACATTTGAGAGTATTTATCCATTTCCATCTTTTTGGAAGTCGAAGTAATCACGCCGGTATGGAGACGAGTTGTTGAGGATCAGTGCCGTCCACCATAGAGGGTCCATATCGCCGGCGTTGAGTCGTCTCTTCACAGGCTTTGTGATTGGGGCATCTGAAGTCTCCGTGAGAGGCTGGATACAAACTGGAGCTGACGAACGCCATTTTCCTCGGGACTCGCATCCCGAGATAACAACAGAAAAGCAAAAAGGGAAAATAATTAGCATAGCTGCTGTTCATAATGATTTCCATAACACGAGCGTAGATGATAAAAACATGAATAAGCTTCAGCCTGAAGCTTATTCATTTCACTTTTGGTGTGACCAAAAATATTAACTTTTTATTGTTATTAAAAAGCTAACTAGCAAGCCCAGCCCAGATGAGAAAAAGTAACGCAAAAGAAGTAACTTAACTCATTACTTTCGATAAAAAGTAACTAAGTAATGCAATTAGTTACTTTTTAGGGAGTAACACAATGTTGTAATGCATTACTTTTAAAAGTTCAACACTGATAATGATAATAATGAATTATGCATAATTTAAAAAATACCTCAATACCTTTTAAATTAAAAATGTAATATAGTTTAATACTTTAAAAAAAATGAAAACTAATGTAAATTTTAACTATATATTTTTTGATGGCATATAGTTAACAATTTAACATATTTTTACTATTGTATTTTATTTATTTTTTTAATTAAAAACTACTAGCTTTTTTTTTTTTTTTTTTTACAGAATTTCCTTCAGGTTATTTTTCCAAGTATTAAAAAAAGAGTAACTTTTGAGAAGTACTTCAATTTAACTTTACCCCTAAGTTCATGTATGCTGTATTAATATCTTAATATAATGCACACCGATAAAGCAGAGTCTTTCTCTGACTGGCATCAGCAGATTCAACCAAGCAGAATCAGGGGGATGTTGGCCCTCAGCCCGGTATTGAACTGACTGACTTTAGTGCTCTTGAACAAAGCACTTAAACTCAATTGCTTCAGAGAAATCTTTAGGTTTATGGATGCAAGGTTCATATGAATTATTTGTGTTCTGCAAATTTCAACATCAGACCTCTCTAGAGCGCATCAGAACTGCTGAGCAGAATGGCTTTTTTCTGATGGTCTTTGGCTGGTTTGCCAAGGTTGGGAATCAGCAGAGTCCTGGCAATATCAATATCTGGGTCATGTTATGAAAGTATTGCATAAAAAAAAAAACCTGTAATATATTGCAATCTTTTACTGACATGTTTCTTTTGGTCTGAATTGGACTTTAGTACTTTGTACACTGAATTTCTTTGATAATAGAAAGAAAATATTTAAATAATACATTTTATAATATATAATATGTGAAAATGAAACTAAAGATATTAGTTCTTGGTGTTTTTGTTTTTCCCCTAAACCATTTGGCAAATATAGACTGAAATGGCTAGCTAGTTGGTGTGACTTGTCCTGGCTGGCCTCTATAAATTCTTCAAAATAGCTTTTAGTTTAAGGGAAAAGCATTTAATGAAATGAACAACTTTTTGTTTTGCTCTGAGATAGGCTTGGGCGGTATCCAAATTTTGATACCGTCAAACCTCCTCCCTATTTTACCGCGGTATACGGTATTACCGCGTGACTAATTAAAAATTATGACATAAGGCTCAGACGGCATCACCAAACTGTTGGTTTGTGCAGGGATGAGTCACAATTTTCGAATATTCAATTATTTGATTTTATTATAGAATATGGAATAGGTTGTGGGATTATTGTCTATAAAAAATCCCCATGTTTTCCGTTCTGATGCGGTGGTGACACGTTCAACCAGAGGGTGGCGATGCCAATAATGCATCTAAAAGCTGTCAATCAACTCTCAGACAACAGGAGAAGATGCACATTGTCTCACACCAGAGCATGTGAGCGGAGTGGTAATATTTCCTCCAGAGCAGAGAGCGCATTTCTGAAGATCACGCGCCGCTCGCTCAGTCCACTCAGCGGCGCGCGCTCAGAACGCCCGCAGTGACATGCTGGTTAGAAAACATGTGAAGTAGGGCTGCCCGTGCACGACTAAAGTTTTTTTTTTCTAGTTGACTAGTAGTAGTTGATTTAAGCCATTAGTCTAATCACATATTTATATTGATTAAATTACTTAAATATATATAGGAGAGAATGCTAAACCATAATGAGCGTTTTCGTAATATATTGCCTATTCTGCATCTCAAAGCACGCATAAAGCTTGGCACAAAGAACCGGCAAAAGTAATTATGCATGAAACATTTGAATTGTTTATTAATAAAAAACGTTCTATGTCAGTGGCTGCACAGATAAAGTTTACGATGCAGACTCGCATCTTCGCAGTAGTGAACGCGCATAGATAGAAATGCACACTTCATATGAATTAGCCTACAGAGAGCAGGCCATTTCTTTTAGTTTTTAATTGTTTTGTTTAAAAGTAGACATTTCAAGCTTATTATATATATACACTTCTCAGATATTTAAGGCATCTATCTTATACGCTGAGTTTCGTTCTTTTTAGGAGACGCGCTCCAGTTCACGCGCCGGCTTATATTGTCTAATATATATCCTTCTTATTTATTAATCCAGGCAATTCGTTGATGAAACATTGATTAAAATGAAGATACAATTTATGCGAAACGAAATTCACTTTAAAGAAAGGCTTTCTACAAAACAAAACGTAATAAGTGGTCAAAAATCATGTCTGACCCATTCCAAATGTTTTCCGATATTGGGCATCTTATGATCCTATCTTATTCATCTCATGCAGTTTCCTTTTCATATAATCAACATAGATGAAATAAAAAAAAAATAACAACATTATATTATTAAACATAAATATGAAAAGAAATGAGTTTTTTTTTATTTATTTTACTTATAACCTATTTAATAAGTGTCACACCGCTCCGCTGTATAGCTGTGTAGCCTACATGCATGTGTGCGTGCATATGGTGGAGGGGTGCGATTTTCGAATAATAATCAAATACCAGGCGATCTTCAAATATTATTTTTGCTTGAAATGCCCATCCCTGCCAAACTGCAGAAGTCGTGTTCTTCTTCGAGACCAGGTCACTCGGTGCGCAACCTGCCATCTTTCCCCCTCTCTCCCCCACTCTTTCTCCTCCACACTGTCACGTGATGACAACCACACATAAGCATTTTTAGCCATTAAATAAATTATATTTAATATTTAATCCTTTTCTCCTATATAAGTGCATTGGATTTTTTTTTATGACGGTATGACGATATTGAAACTGATACCGTTGCCATTTTTAGATCCCGCGGTATACGATATTACCGTATTACCGCCCAAGCCTACTCTGAGAACTTCCTGATGTTCTCGATCAGAGGCCCATATAAACAACGCCGCTGTGTTTTTCTAGCTATTGATTGCCGAGTTGGTTTGTGTCTCAAAGGCAATTTGCTACTTTTCCTCCTGCTCACAATCTCCACAAGCTCTTTTTTCATGTGTTGCACATCCCTTCTTTTTACATCAGTTCTGTTTCTCTGAAAATATTTTGTTAGCCCATGTAACCTTTTAGAAATGTACAAAAATGTTCACCGCAGCTTGACCATTTGCATGTTTTGTTTTTCCACTTTTGTACATCTGAATGCTCATTGTTTGCTTTTGTTTGTTTCCTAACAAAGTACCGGACGACCTGACGCCAGAGGAGAAGCAGGAGCTGGAGAACATTAGGAGACGTAAACAGGAGCTGCTAGAGGACATACAGGTAATAACTTCCAGATCATTTCTCTGAAGCGGCTACTTTTTCTGCTTCAAAAGTCATTTGAATCCACTGTAGTTTTCAGCGAGTTTGCTCTTTGAACTGCCTGATGTCTCATTAATTATACTAATTAATACTACCAAATCAACCTTATGCCCCTCTCTCTTGGCCCTGGGCAAGGCAGCTGGAATGAGGTGGATCTGTAGAGAATAGGAATTGGATCAGGGGAAGGGCTTCCATGACCCTGGCTGTAGTTTTAGTGTACAGGATTGATGGGATGTCCCACCCTGGGATATAGACTGTAACAGCTGGCTCGTGAAGGGGCGGTATGCTTTGGAGCAGATGGTGCAAGCCAAGTCCAGCGAATTCAATTATGCTGATTCTATTACGCAATTGGAATGTCAACCATTGATGCCCCTCCTGCCAAACACTGTCCCCTTCGTCTCTTAAATGACTTAATCAATCATGTAAACCTTCAAATGAAGTTTGTTGGCATATCTTTGGCATTCATCTTTGCCACTAACTGCCAGTTCCATTCCATTCTCCTGCTATTTCCTGATTGCCCTTGAACAGCACGACTGCCATCAGGAGAGGAACAATCTCTCTCTTTTAGAATAGTCATACCTTTACTCTTCTCAAATTAGACGTACGTATTTATTTTCTAAAATTAGGAGTACGTGTTTATTTTCTAAAATTAGGATTTTATTTTGTTTGTAATTTTTGTTTTTGTTTTTTTTACTTAGAAATTTGTTACTTTGTTTTATTGCCAAATATGATGGCATTCTTGATTCTGGCACCATCTTTATTTTTGCTTAGCCTACTACATCATTATACTCTACCGTTCAAAAGTTTTGGGTCTTAAAAAAAAAAAAAGAAGATAACCAAGGCTGCATTTTTTTTACATAAAAAATACAGTAAAACACTTATATTTTGAAATATTATTACAATTTAAAATAAATGTTCTCTATTGTAATATATATTTAAAATGTAATTTATTCCTGTGATGCAAAGCTGAATTTTCAGCATCATTACTTGTCGTCAGTGTCACATGATCCTTCAGAAATTATTCTAAAATGCAGATTTGGTGTTAAAGAAACATTTCTTATTATTATCAGTGTTGAAAACGGTTGTGCTGCTTATATATTTTTTCCTGATTATTTGATGGATAGAAAGTTCAAAAGAACAGCATTTATTGGAAACAGAAATCTTTTGTAACATTATAAATGTCTTTATTCTCACTTTTGATCAATGTAATCAAAAAGAAATCTTAATGACCCCAAACTATTGAACAGTAGTTTGTCAAAATATTTGCGAAAAGTACTGTTCAAAACCTTTTTATTATTATTATTATTATTATACTTTAAAGTAGGGCTGTGCAACGATTAATCGCATCCAAAATAAAAGTTTGTGTTTACATAATATATGTGTGTGTACTGTGTATAATTATTTTGTATATGTAAATACACACACACACACACACACACACATGCATGTATATATTTAAGAAATATTTGCATGTGTATACTGTATATATTTTTATACAGGTCCTTCTCAAAAAATTAGCATATTGTGATAAAGTTCATTATTTTCCATAATGTAATGATAAAACTTAAACTTTCATATATTTTAGATTCATTGCACACCAACTGAAATATTTCAAGTCTTTTATTGTTTTAAAGGAGTCATAATGTAGTATTAACTTTGATACCCACGCTCTATTATAGTCATTTCATGCCCTTCTAAAAAAGAAAAATTGGAAAAAAATAAACACAGAGCTCGTTTGACCCTTATTTCTGAATGCATTATTGTCTCGCGAGATCTGATGCGAGGTTTTGGCTGTCGTGGACGGTCATTTTAATAATGCAAATGAGGGGCGCGTTGATTGGTGGTAGGAAGGAGGGGGCTTGACACCGCAGGTAACTTCAGCATATCATTCCAAAAAGAGATCATGGCGCAAGTTGTTAATGAACCCGACCTGGCCGCGACCTACGGGATTCAACCGTATATGTTTGAGCCAGACTCTGAACCAGAGCTGGAAACGGAAGAGGAACAACAGTCAATTGAAGGACGTCTACATCAACATGTCTCTGAATGGTAAAGACAATTTTTTTGACTGAGACATACATTAACATCAGTAACGAGCTAAAACGTTTTTTTGCTATTTTCTCCCACATAAGTTTAGCTTTAATTTAATGTAGATTACATTAACGGAGATGTAGTCTACTTTATTTTCAGCTTACAGTGGTTATAGAGATTAACGTTTGCTATAATGTGTTGTTTTTGCCTTTTTTGACGTTGTGGTTTTTTAGATATTTAATCATTTTCATCTGCAGACATGTAACGTTATGTTTTTCTTTGTTTATTAATTTCTTGACTGTTTTTTAAATGTATCTATCCTTATCACATACATTAACCGCATTAGTAGTTAGCTGCTGTTTGTTACACAAAATATAGTAATAAAAACACAGTCTTACCGTTTCAAATTCAGGCAAGTCCCTGATTGTTGGAATGGCACCTTTTTCCAAACGTAGCTTCGATGCCAACTTCGCCTGATATTGCCCCAAATTTGTAAAAGATTCTTTTGTGAAATGTTTAGCGCAGACACCTAACGTTGAGCAAGTTGAGATGGTTGTTGGAACAGCGTCATTAAAAATAAATTTCATCCTCTTGTCCCTTGTAGTTTGGTCAGTTTTGGGTAAAGAAAAAACATTAGAATGTGGATTATGACAGTCAACCACAGAGCAACTCACGTGTGCACTACGTTCTTGCATCTTTCTTGACTGAATATGATGGGGAGAGGGGCAGGGCAGGCCTCCTCTGCGGTGTCCATATATGGTATATCCGGCCTCGTCTTGACGTCATGTCGGGGGAGAAATTGAAATCTCGTATTTGAGTGCGCGTGCACGTTGGCTAGTTTAAGAACCCTGGGGTAAACAAACGCTTCACTTTTGAATATCGGCATCCCGGCAAATGTATAATCGTTAGTCAATCATAACATACATTGATTCTCATGGAAAAGTGAAAATTGCACATTATGACTCCTTTAATACTGATGATTTTGGCATACAGCTCATGAAAACCCAAAATTCCTGTCTTAAAAACTAGCATATTTCATCCGACCAATAAAATAAGTGTTTTTAATACAAAAAAAAAAGTCAACCTTCAAATAATTATGTTCAGTTATGCACTCAATAGTCAATACTTGGTCGGGAATCCTTTTGCAGAAATGACTGCTTCAATGCGGCGTGGCATGGAGACAATCAGCCTGTGGCACTGCTGAGGTGTTATGGAGGCCCAGGATGCTTCGATAGCGGCCTTAAGCTCATCCAGAGTGTTGGGTCTTGCGTCTCTCAACTTTCTCTTCACAATATCCCACAGATTCTCTATGGGGTTCAGGTCAGGAGAGTTGGCAGGCCAATTGAGCACAGTAATACCATGGTCAGTAAACCATTTACCAGTGGTTTTGGCACTGTGAGCAGGTGCCAGGTCGTGCTGAAAAATGAAATCTTCATCTCCATAAAGCTTTTCAGCAGATGGAAGCATGAAGTGCTCCAAAATCTCCTGATAGCTAGCTGCATTGACCTTGCCCTTGATAAAACACAGTGCACCAACACCAGCAGCTGACATGGCACCCCAGACCATCACTGACTGTAGGTACTTGACACTGGACTTCAGGCATTTTGGCATTTCCTTCTCCCCAGTCTTCCTCCAGACTCTGGCACCTTGATTTCCGAATGACATGCAAAACTGAGCAACAGTCCAGTGCTGCTTCTCTGTAGGCCAGGTCAGGCGCTTCTGCCGCTGTTTCTGGTTCAAAAGTGGCTTGACCTGGGGAATGCGGCACCTGTAGCCCATTTCCAGCACATGCCTGTGCACGGTGGCTCTGGATGTTTCTACTCCAGACTCAGTCCACTGCTTCCGCAGGTCCCCCAAGGTCTGGAATCGGTCCTTCTCCACAATCTTCCTCAGGGTCCGGTCTAGGGCTGTGTTGAAAAAATCGATTCACCAATTCTGAATCGATTTTCATATTAATTTCTAAAGATCGATCCGTAACTCAGAGGATCGATTTAATAATAGGCTTACATTTTCCCCGTGAACTTTAACTTGCCGCGACTGGAGATCCCTGTATGCGCATTGAAAGGCTTTCACTCAGCGCGCACACTGTTACAACAACAGGCTTTGAGTGAGTCATTCGTTCATTCAACGAACACGTTCAAAAAAGCTGATTCATTAAAAGAGATGTAATGAAACAAGGTGTTAATTATTTTTAACTTTGAGTTTGTAAGTCCGTCTAATTCTAATTCGTGTTCGTAACAGCTACCGTACGCATACTAGGGCTGTCAAAATTGCTCAAATGGCGTTTGCATATTCCCTCTAAAAAAACATATTTGAACATATCGTCGTGCATTTGGTCAATGACGCGCATTACGTCAATAACAGGACAAATTAATACAAAGAGACATAACTACTAGTATTAAGTAGCTTATTTGAGTTTAAACATATTTGACTGACAACGTATTAGTACAAAAAAAAACCGAGTAAATCAACTAATGGCCAAGACTGCAGAGCTCACTCTGGCTCGCCCGGACTCGCAGGCGCACTCTCTCTCTCTCTCTCGCACTCACCCTCACGCTCTCCGCGCATACCGGTTTAAATGAACAACAACAAACAAATGTTGAGTGCTGATCAAGAGTTTTGTGCAAGCAATTTAAGGTTGCGAATTTAAGGTCCCAAATATAGCAGGCTTCATTCAGTGATTGAAACAAATACATTAATTGAAGTTTCACAGTACATAGAACCGACACTGAGCGCTCCGAGCGAGCTGTGCTGTGGTAACGTTAGTCTGCTACCGCGGGCGTGTTTTTCCACATTCGAATATTAATTTTCACCTTCAAAATTCAGTTTTTTTTTAACTATTCGAATATATATTCGTATTTAGAATATTCATTGACAGCCCTAATGCATACTGAACGGATAGCCTACACCTTAGCTATTTTCAGCTCCCT